TCGGAAATGTCTTATTAACGTATATCTGTAGGTACCTTGTTAACACATTTGTTCATGTAAATAGTAGATAACTCAATTTTTCAATATTCATTTGCGCTTCATAGTTCATACCCCAGTACCGCTTTATAATAGGTATATAGAATCACGTTTGTACGAAGAGCAACATGGGCTGGCCGACTGGACTTAAATTAAATGAAAAGAGAACATTTGAAATTATGTTTTGGCAAGAAATACTAAATCCCGCACAGTCGAGCCTGCCCCCTAGCATGAGCACCGCGATATGAATAATAAATAGTTCGTTTTTATCAAGCTCAATTGTCAAATTACTAAGGATTTTGACAGATGGGCGCGATAAAAAACGTGATATAATGTAAATTGTGGTGCTCATGCTACAGGGACTGGTGACCTATTGAAAAAAAAATCTTAAAAATCTCTTATCTATTAGACAAGTCCGTCCGTCCGTCTGTCTGTGGTGCTGTTTCAGCGGCCAAACCGTAAGAGATAGATAAAGAGAATGTAAGTTATAAGTTAAGAATAGTCTGATAAGACTACAAACCGGATTTGAGTAACGTAGCACTTCCGGTTTTCGAGAAATCACGAATTTCAAAAGAAACCACACAAAACCTCCGCAGTTCTCAATTAATTAAACAACAAAAAATTTTTTTTTTATATCAGGTTTTGGTGAACATTTGGTTCACTGGTTTGCTAGTATTTTATAAATAAACTAGTGGCCCGCCCTCGCTTCGCTTCGGTGTAGTGTGTATAGTTTTTGTTCTCAGGCTTGTGCGTAAACAATGACTTTATTTATATAATTACACGTGTTATTGTGAGTCAACCATAAAAGATAAACATATGCTGTTGCAGGATATTTTTTAGGCAATTTTATGTAGAATATTTCCGTCATACATGATTTCTATGTAACTTTAACCATTAAGGCTGCACACGCGACGGAAGCTTAAAAAATGGAATAACTTCTCCCGTTTTCCCAACATTTCCCTTCACTACTCTGCTGCTATTGATTGTAGCGTGATGAAAAGTATACTATAACCTGCCCAGGAGTATGAAGAATAATTGTACCAAGTTTCGTTAACATCCGTCGAGTAGTTTTTGTTTCTATAAGGAACATACCCACAGACAGACAGACAGACAAAAATTTTACTGATTGCATTTTTGGCATCAGTATCGACCACTAATCACCCCCTGATAGTTATTTTGAAAATATATTTCATGTACAGAATTGACCTCTCTACAGATTTATTATAAGTATATAGATATCCTTCTTTTAAAAAGTTACAAAGTGCCTTTGTTTGACGAATTAACTGTCGCTGAAGTGAAAATCACTGGGCCCACTAAACATTTCTAGTTCAAGCAAATATCAAATCGTATACCAAATAGAAGCATAAGCGAAATTGGTTCAAACGTCGTTTAAGCGTTATGAACTATAAAAAAATGTAGTCGCTATAAAAGTGCTAATTTTTTTCCGAAACATAAACAGATGGACGCAGAAATAAAAACGGATTACAATGATAAAGAGATATTGTCGACTAAAGTGTCGTGTAAGCGAATTTGATTTTCCGCTGTCGATATAACTTTCACTTCATCTTACGCAATGAAACACACTGATGTAAAAGGTTTTCCATGGGATTTCCAGACCCCTTTTCACTTTTTTTCAAAACGATCTCTGAGGATAGAAAGTTACGCAATTCTGAATTTTTCATGAAGAGGTGTGGTATAGCGGACTTTCTGTTCAAATTCCAGCCTCTGTCTACTGAAGTAACCTCCACTATGAAAAGACAACAGTAAAATGTCGGTGAGTAAGGATGCATGGTCTCCACGGGGTAGGGTAATTTAGTACCTATTGCGAGCGTCTCTGGGCTATGGTGGCTGCATAAAAAAAACTCGAATTTGGGGGCTGTCCTCTTTTATTTTGTTTCGTAGGTACTTAGATGGCAAAATTCACTGCGCAGTTAGAGGTATTTTGCATTGAAATAATTTAACACCGTTTCTTAAAAGTATAAAAAAATCAGATCAGCACCACGATATGATTTATAATTAGTTTAGTATATTAATAGATATTTAGTTTTTATTACGCTCAATTGTCAAATTACTATGGAGTTTGACAGTTAGACGCGATTAAATTAACGTAAATAAATTGTGGTGCTCATGCTACGGGGCCTGGATGAAACCCATTTGAAAAGGAAGAGAACACATTAAAAAAGGGGGGTAAATAATTTACGGTCGATTTCAGGTGGGTGTGGGAGATAATAGTAAAAACCAAAGAGTCGGTTATTTTGATTTATCGCAATAGGGAAGATGCAATATTTTTATTTTTGTTTTCATTTTAAAGAATCCCATGTAGAATAAACCACAGATATATTAAAACAATTAAAACATTGTGATTTATCGGAAAAAATGCGGTTTTAAATTGACAGTTTAAATTTTCGCGCGAAAACGGACCTATGGTTCCGATGACATCACTCCTGTCTGTCACTGGTCGTACTTGTTCATCACTGGCTTTCAATTTTCATACTTTTGCATATTTTTTCGACTTTCGAGATATTTTTTTGGAAAAATTTAAAATGGACTATCCATCAACATCAGGTGATTATAACCCACTAATATTCCGAAAAAAAGCCGTGTTGACTCATGTTTGTCCCAATGTGTCCATCTACTTCAACAAAATTTCCAAATAAATTGTTTTTGACTTTTGATTGAATTAATTTAATTGACCCAAAACTGAGAAAAAAGTGGTTTGAAGCTGCGAAGAGAAATGACAATTATTCTCCAAAGACCATTATTCGATGCTGTGAAGATCACTTTGACGTAAGACGGCGAATATACTTGTTATATGCTTAATTAATCTCCCCTACGTAATACTTACAAAACCTGTCTATAACATATTTTTAATTTTACAGTTGGAGAATGACGTCGAAAATAGGATAAAGTTTAAAATGTGTGGCACACTCTACACATTGGCAGGACTGAACCAAGCTTTGCGTTTCATTTAAAATAACACGATAACCTTCTTTACGTACTTTATGCTCCGGAGTAACTCGACTTTTTACTGTACATAATTCTCCATCTCTTTTAATTTGGACATAGCCGAATGCGTTACCGCCGTAAGAGTTCTCTTCTTGAGCTGAAATAACTGCTATGTGTAGAAGCCGCTGAATAAAATACAAAGTTTGGCTACTATGATTTATACATACCGTAGTAATTTAGTCCCTTTCATTTCTACACTTGAAAACTCTGCACTTTGGAAAAAAAAAGTTACAACCATGTCAACACTAACTCTTGGTAAATTCCTGGAGTCTGCTTTAATAAACCCAATTTCCATTTTTATCAAAAAACGCAATTAATATTCCCATAAAATAACATTCACTTTTACAACCATAACCTCAAATAAGTTGTCATAACAGGAGTGACGTCACTAAACGCTGATTGGTGTTTTAAAATACGTTTTTTCAAGTAATTTTTAATTCGTAATTATTGTTAAAAAACAACATTATGTAAAATAAAAACGTTGCAGTAGCCTTTCTTTTATATTTTTTTAACATTTTAATCATAAAATTTTCATTAATGTTATATTTGCATCTTCCCTATTATATTACGTTATGTGAAAAAAGGATACAAAAGCTGTAGATCTTTTAATTACATACAATTTTGCCGTTAATTTTTGTTATAGTTTTCCTGAAAATCGCGATATACCGTTACCCCCTTAAAAGGTCACCTGACCTCAATCGCAGTATCCAGCCGGAATTTAAATAAGGCGGATTCCGGATAGTTACCGGATATTCGTTTCATTTCTTGATTCAATTCTGTACTGTTTTGTTTTCACTTTTACCATTTTCAGAGGAATCTGCCCTGGCTATATAATTTTATTATGAAACGGGGCGGGAGAAAAGTTATTGGAAATACAATACACAAGTGGTAAATGATTGACGTTCGGTTTTCTTACCGGAAGCGATCTCGTGTTCGCGCACCAACTATTTTTTTTAAGGGGATGCTAACGGGGGCTTTGCCCTGTTAACAATTCACTTGTTATTTTATATCCCACTAATTACATTTTTATTTGATCTGAGCTAATTCCTACTTTAATAGTATAAATGTGAAATAAAAATTGAGACTCAATCACGCAAAAATTACTGAACGTATTTGGATGTAGTTTGGCATACCTATAGTTTATGACCTGGGATGAGACAGGATAATTTTTATCACGTAAAAATTTTCGGCTCCTATAGGATCGTCAAAAAACTAACTATCGCCTGGGCGAAGTCGCGGGCGGAAGTTAGTTAATATTATAAATGCGAAAGTGTGCCTGTTACCCCTTTACGCTTAAACCGCTGAACCGATTTGAGTGAAATTTGGTAGAGATAGTTTGAGTCTCGGGAAAGGATACCTTTTATTCCAGAAATAATCATTCAAAGGGGTGAAATGAGGAATGGAAATTTGTGTGGAAAATCAATATTTCCATGGAAACAGTCGCCAAAGGATGACTAAAAACTATTCTGTCGAGATGCTCCAGGAAGTCGTCGTCTTTCCTCTCAAGGAAGGCACGTGAAGCCGTTGGCCTGCATATACAGTACATAGCACCCACACTGGGCCCGCATCGTGGTTCATGGTCAAGATGGTCATTCCATTCTCCCTATTCGATCCATAGGGAAGATTTGTGTCCCAACAGTGGCCGTTTATCTCCACTTGTCCTACTCAGCAGTTCTACGGTTGATGTCAAATCGTGGAACTAATGGGAATAATGTTTTCTTTAGTTCTACCTAGATTTAACTCCCAGGACTGCTCAGTAGGACAAGTGGGGACAAGCGTTGAATTATTACTACGGGATATTGGCTACAAACTGCGGAAAACGGAGAAAGCCACAGACAAAAAAGTAAGCAGGTATGTACCTTTTTTCTGAAAATCGTTGAAATATTTTGCATCATCCTTAATTAAAATAAAAGATAGGAAAAAAGGGGTTCAGGTGCAGTAGATTCAGCAGAGAAATAAAATGATACCACATGATAATCATAGCAACGTTATTGTATTTTTATTTTTTGAATTGAATCCTTTTCGTGCTTACACGGTAAACACATGACCTCAACACTTACAACTAAAAGTATTCTAAAAATTAAAATAATGGATATTATTTCGAGTTATAAAATTGTAGCTTGTGCATTTTCGTTTCCAATCGAGGCGAACGAGTGGATTTATTCAAATTATTGGAGTAACGTTAAGTGCCCATATGATTGCTATGAATATTGTATTATTATTTTTATCACTTATTGTGCTCAGATACAGTGCAATATGTCGTAAGTTCTTTTTAAATATTCAGGTGCCCCTGTTTCACCGCTTTTCTGCCAATGTGCACATTACTTCGTTTACTTAGTTTCCTTTATACAAACTGATATATACGATTTAGTTACATTATTCTAATATATTGCTATCTTTTCAATTTAGTCTATAGAGTGTGTCGAGTGACTTTAGGCTATGATCGAAAATGCTAGAAGTTTCACGTAAGTGGGAAATATATTTCGATTGTAATAAAATAAATGACAATTATGGTGTTGTACGTGTTCGTTCAAATTTATATTAATCTTAAAATAATGTGCCCCAGCAGCTGACTCACCGGTAATACTTACTAATTACCGGCTATTACGTAAAAAAACATTCATCAATCAATACACTTTGATAGTTTTTTTATGGCTAATGTAAGTTTAATAGGTAAAGAAGGGATATTTTTTTAATATTGGAAAAAGACTAGATATCACATGGTTTGAGCTATATATTATCATTTTTCATTCTTCCATAATCTTGTACATCCGTAAAGTGACAAAATAATAATATACTAGTAGAATGGGAACAGATGACTTTCTCGGTTGTACCATTTATGAGCTGATGAGAATGTAAATAAAAAAAGATTAGAAATAACTTGAAGTAAATGGCCATATAAAACTTACACGAACTACATAAACTTTTTATCGCGTGGGCTATATTTATGTAGATGCGTCTATGGTCGAATGTCGTGTGTATGTTTTAAAGTAGATAAACATTTTATTATATCAATGTACCTAATTAATGAATGTGTGCTTGTCATAGGAAGTGAAGTTTAGGCATGTTATTACTTAAATAAAATAGGTACCTACTCGTTTTCCATATCATTATCGCGATATGTCTACTGCCAGAAATCGCCGAAATATCTATAAATGTACTTACATGCAATTTATTGTACGTGTGATGATGTTGGAATTCATTGTATTAAGTGGTATCAGAATTCGGATAATTCTGTCACTACAGCACCGAAGTATATGGATAGACAGACATTCTATCTTTAGTCCGCGACCGTATTTCTCTCGAGCACCGGTCAAAACAACTCGCTGCCAAACAATAAATTCGCATTACGGCCTCAAGTCAAGTATAATTCACTTGTAACGTTACAATTTTAGAGTTGGTCAGTCGAAAATATTGAGCATTATGATTAACATAATTATCACTATTATTACAGAACCAGTAGCTATAAATTTATTGCACATGTCGTCGATTCTAATTTTAATCTCTAAACGTTCTCTATGGCGTAAATCACCTACGGATATTGTTAATAAATGATAAAAAAAACTTGTATTGATGTGTAGTATGATTAGCTTACATTCAGGTGTCGTCTTCGACAGTGTAGACCATAGAGATATAAGAATAGAGTAGGGGAGATATAGACTCAACTACAAGTGGAAGTGTCCCTCTAATAGAAAGAGAAAGAAGATTAGAGACTGCTAGCTTTCTCTCTCTAATTGCGCATGCGCATTGGCAACCGTAAGCATCTTACTATTTCGATGTGATACCATTGGGTGCCATGCGTCACAAGAGAGAGAGATAGCTAGCGGTCTCTCATCTTCTTTTTCTTTCTACTAGACGGACACTTTTAGAGCCGCCTTCCCCACTCTATTCTTATACCTCTATGGTGTAGACGCGGGCCGGGCGATTCCACGCACGCACACACATAACTACCCCTTATCATACCTACCTAGCTATTTGTTATGAGTAATTTATTCAAATTTCTTTAAAGCGTACATTTTTATAATTATGCCTTATGAGGTTCTCATCTCAATTAGATGAATTCAACAAAAACATCAGTTAACAAACACAAGTTTTTTAAAAAGTGTAAGACGCGTGCAAGGACATGAATGAATCCATTTTAATGACAAAACTTAACAACAAACGTAATTCTAAACAGTCTTTCCGATGACTGGTCAACTATTAGGTGGGATCAATTCAGGAACCTATAGAAAAAACAATAGGCAAAAGAAACAAAACATTCGATTGAACTTTAACTATCGCTTCATTAGGGCAATACCCACGTGGGAAAGATATATAAATCTACGAATAAAATAAATTAAAATGAACAAATAAATAGGAAATAAGATAAAACGCTAAGTGTGTAGGTACTAACTGTATCGTGTGTGCCCCACAACAAGCAATGGCAATAAGTTCTGTAGAACCTCAATCATATCAACCCCTAAATAAATAAATGTACCTAGTAATTATATATAATATCTAATATGTTTTTTTACATATTTACAGTTTTTATTTAAATTATATCAAGGTAGGTACATAAAGAATAAAAAATAAAAAATTTGTACTCGTAAAATAATGAATTCAAAATATGCAACAAATAAATCCTTCTATATACGTTCTCGTCTTGTTCTACTTTACTTCTAGTCTCTACTTACGATTATTTTGTGTATATTATTTATAAAGAGTCGCAGCCGCCTATATTCGTGCGCCGCCGTAGGTACTTAACGCTTATTGTGTGAGTCCTATTTAAAATGTATACTAGTGTCTTTGTCGCGGCGAGCGAACGTAGGCCGCTTGCGCTCCACAATAAGTCGTTATTTGTAATTAGTTATAATAATAACTACAATATAATGTTGGTATGAGCGGTGTAGTGGATGCTCCCCGCTCATACCTAAAGCGTTTAGGTGTACGCGGCCTTTCGCACTGCCTGCCCTCCTGCTCACACTTCGCCATATTAGCCTAATTTGTGTGTGTATCACGAGCATATTCACGAGGCAATTCTATTATGGCACACATTCCACAGTCCGTTTAAAGGTCAGATTGACATTTTATACATATGAATGAATCTAGTCAACGCCTTCCTAACGGTGAGACCCTTTCGAATATAGAGTCACGACTGATATTCCCAAACGAATCATACAAAAGTTATGAAATCGCGACGAATATATATTTAATTGACATTTAATAAATGTTACAGCGGCGAGTGGGCAGTGCGAACCCGTCGTCACGGCATCCACTTTATCAATATTATACAAATACGTACTTGTACAGTCGAACAGATTTATGCGACTGAAGTCGGTTCTATAAACTAGCTATATTACGGTCGCCGGCGCCTTTCGCTGCGCTAGCTACACAGGTGGGATTTTTATTATGCTACATTAACAGTGATCGTATCAAATCTATCACCTACCCCAGATTTGTGCCCTCTGCCATTGGATCGCCGAGTCTAACGGTGTTTACATTTATTTAAAAAAAGATAAATACGTAGGTATATCACACATCGGTCGAGTGGAATGAGTCGAGCGATCCGTCTCAAATCTTATATGATAGTCGAGGGAAACGTCTCCATGTAGGAAAACGCAGGGGTGCCCGACGGTCATCTACGATGATATTTCCCGGGGGGTTCTGATATCGCTAATTATATTTACTCCTAGACGCCTCACTACAAATCTATTCGTTATTTCTCGAAAAAGAATTGAGCGATATCGACTAGCAGACGAGACGATGATCAGCAGACGGTCTCGGCGGGAGGCGGCGGCGGCGCGAACGCCGATAGCGGCGACACCGGCTCCGGCGAGCGGCGCCGCAACGCCTGCCGCTTGCGGAACTCCAAGAATTCCTCCTTCATCGCCCGCACGCGCGCCTCCACATCGTCCCGCGCCGGGCGCGCGCGCGGCCGCTCAGGCGTCGACGGAGTCGGCGTGCGCGTGGCGCGGTCCCACTCGTAGTGCACGTCCACCGAGCCCGCGTCCACCGCCTCGCCGGACCCCGACCCGGGGCGCGGCAGCGGCAGCGGCAACTGTGCCGGGGCCGGCGGCGGCGGCCGGTACGGCGGCGGCCGCCACTCCGCCAGGCTGCCCGTGCGGCTGCTGCGGTTGTGCTGCGACGACGACGCGTTCTTGCTGCCGAACCCGCTCGACGAGCTCCGGCTCTCCGGCGACGCCTCGTGCGGGGGCGGCGGGTCGAGGGCGGTGCGAGGCCGCGCGTGCCGCGAGAGCGGGCGGGCGCGAGGTCGCAGGGCGCCCGCGCGGGTCATCGGTTCCAGGCGAACGTTGCGCATTCGGAAGGGCGAGGGCGGCGTCGGGAAGGACCCGTCTGCGGAGCTCGGGAACGGAACTGAGCTGAGGTCTGACACGTGAAGCGGGGACCACGGAGTCCAGGCGGCCGCCCAGGGGGGCCACGGCGGCCACGGGGGCCAGTGCAGGGCGAGCGCGGGGGACGAGGCGCGGAACAGCGGCGGCGCGGCGGCGGGCCGGAGCGGCGCGCGCACCCGCGGCAGGAAGCCGCCGTCGTCGGAGGAGGAGGGCGCGGGCGAGGGCGCGACGGAGGGCGCGACGGAGGGAGCGGTGGAGGCCAGCGAGGGGGGCGCGGGCGACACGCGGCGCACGGACCGCCAGTACTGCGCCTCGCTGCCGCCGCACCGCGACGCTGGCCATATCCAGTTCACGGTGAACCGCAGACATTGCACTATACTCGATATTCCGCGTTCTCTAAATCTGTGGAACGGTTACTCAGGCATTACTAAACTGGTACGATACCCGATACGTGCATTATGTTTTATTTGGAAGATATGGATTACTAATCTTAAAACTTTCGTTTCGAGTCGGGAGTCGAATTCTTTGGTAAAATTTAGTATAAGTTATATGTACAGACTAAACGCTTCAACTGACCTGATTTCCTTTTGCGCGCAATTAAAAAAACACAATATGTCATTAATTAGATTTTTGTAAAAAATGCTATTTGAGTAGAGAAATTTCGGGTGTATTACTTACTTTTTAAAAGGCACTTGAGTGCTATCGGCGGCGCGAAGATCTGTCAGACGCGCGGCTACCATGTTGTATGCTGCAATCGGATAATTTCTGAATATTAATGCAGTGTCAAAATGTCCGATTACAATTGAAATTCTTAGTAATCGCCGCCCGCCACCAGTACTTTCCCTATCACCATCACCAACCACCATATTGTCAAAATAAGCTGACATGCAATAAGAAATCACCGATATTCTTCATTGTTTAATTTGGTTCACATTATTGTTCTTGAATTTTCCCGCATATTCAAACATAGGTATTTTCTTATGCAAGCCTATAATTTGGGTAGGACTATTTAGATATTTTGTGATAAACAATGAGGTGATTATGAGTAAAGAATAACAAGCAACAGGTAAAAACAAAAACATTATTGTAAATCAAGGATTTCCACGTAGGACACATAATTTACATTATTACTGCTTCTCTGCTGTAAGGGTTTCAAACAAATTTAATATTTTTGGAAAATAATAAAACAAAACACTAACATCACAACCTAAAAGTTTTGAAATAAGCAAGGGATGTTTAGTTTAAGCCAAGAATAACAAAAGAAAGGAGACGGTTCATCAATCATCAATTTGTTTAGAGGATGGTACTCAGTCTCCGGCAGACTCCAAATTTTTATGACATGTAGTACACTTAATTGTAAATCGTTTGACAAAAAACCAGAATTTATTTTATCCTCTGTTTCTTTTCAAATAATAATAATAATTTTTAATTACAAATGTGTGTGTGTGTCTGTTTGTCTTCTGTTTACTGTTGCTAAAGTATCAAATACATAATATATTCTATTCAATAAGTAACTAAAGCAAAGATAACTAATTATTCTGTTCATCTCTTATTCTAATAGTAGGTATTTTGTGGGTACTTTATTTCAAGAAGAATCAATCTTAAATTGGGATAATAATTTCACCACGATTTCACGAACACATGCATGAATGGACTGATAGTCATTTGACATTGAGATTGAGTTGACATTATATGCTGCTCCAGACTAAAAATATGGTGTGTCTTACGACTGGGTTGCCAGAATCCTTACGAAATTGTTAAATTTTCAAACCGAATCAAAGTTAATCGGGGATGAATAAAAAAATAATATCTGTTCATGGTATAATATAAAATAAGCTTTCAAATGATATTATGTTTCATCGCTGCCGGAAACTAACTGCCACTTTTGAAGCGTCTCCTTTCCAAGTATGCGCGCACATTATTTACCTTTTGGGGTTCATTCTTAAAATATTCAATATTTATGCATGCAAAAGCGCAAACCAGTTTAGTATAACAACCAACAACGCACATAAAACTAGACAGCCGATATAGAAATATGAATATGCACATATGTTTGCTTCGTCCCGACAATATGGTAAGTTATGCTAAGTCATTAGTCTGATGCGATAAACCACTTTATGTTTAGGGACTACGTCAATTGTTACTTTCACGAACCAGCTAATTGGGGAAGTTACTCAATTGTTGTATTCAAAATTGAAAATGGATTTAAGTATATAATACGCGATATCGCATGCTTTGCCCGGATGAAAAAAATAAACAAAATCATATGAAATTTTGAACAGCCTCCTACTCGACTCTGATGTACTGTTCGATTTTTAACAAAGCCTCCTACTCGACCCTGATTTACTGTTCAATTTTAAACAAATTCTCCTACTCTACTCTGATTTACTGTTCGATATTCAACAAAGTCTCCTACTCGACTCTGATTTACTGTTCGTTTTTCAATAAAGTCTCCTACTCGACTCTGATGTAATGTTCGATATTCAACAAAGTCTCCTACTCGACTCTGATGTACTGTTCGTTATTCAACAAAGTCTCCTACCTAACTCTGATTTACTGTTCGATTTTCAACAAAGTCTCCTACTTGGCTGAATACTGATCATTGTCTAGGTGTAATATTTTCTGTAAACAATGGGGGCCTGGTGACCTGTAACACGGGTCTATGAACCTACACGGGCACCAGTCTCCCACGAATGACGACATGATTAATAATTTACCTAAGATGTTTGTAAACCTTTTTTGTCATTTCTGGTGAGAAATTAAGTTATTTTATTTTTGTTATTATTATTATTTTCATAAAAGTAACAATCGACTGAGCACACAGCACACGAGCGGGCGGCGTTGTACCGCATAAAACGCTCACCTTTCTCCTGCTTGCGTCGCTTGCGCTTGTTGCATATCTTGACCGCGCACACAGAGAGGATGATGGCCACTATGAAGAACAGGATGCCGCCGACCACGCCCGCCGTTATCGCCTTCACAAACAGAATATTTGTGTTATGGTTTTTTAAGCATTTAACTGATAGATGTTTAAATCTAAAGAAAAGTTTACTTGAAATAAAATCCACGCGGACCAGGCAGCAGACGGGACTCGAACCCGCACCTTTCGCTATCCGGGCGAATGCACTGAACATTATGCTACCGCGGCACTGACGGCCGTAAAGGTATTTCATTTGACATTATGGGTTACCTACAATGCGAAGAGATGGCGCTGCCTTGCAGCCTAAGGCTAGAGAAAAATTCGACACGGCCGTCAGGGCCGCGGTAGTATAATGGTCAGTGCATTCGCCCGGATAGCGAAGGGTGCTGGTTCGAATTCCGTCTGCATTCCCCACTGCAATACCACCTAGCTTAGTTCTGATTGCAGCGACGCAATCAGAACTAAGCTTTGACCAAGTTATGAGCATTTGCTCACTCATAACTGTGGCGCGCCTGCCCCGCCCATAAGGCCCTTCTAACCTCTTTCTGTGTTCTGTAATGGCGTGGTGGTTAGCAAGTTCGGTGACGATCGTAGAAGTAAAGCAACTTTCACAATGCTCTGTCATTTGTGGGGTGACCAAAAACTTGTCTATTTTGACCACAAAGCCTAATTTATCTTTGAATGCAGGCCACCTAAAACGCAAAAAAGACTAATAGCAGTATACCTAAACAGCAAAAAGGCTGTAGTAATAAGTTTTGGTAAATACTAATGATAAGTTTTTCGGCAAACTTTAGTAGGGAAAAAAATAGAAAGGAAATTATTTATTGCTTATATGCATAGCTTTATTCATTTTGTTATGTCTAAACGATTTTAAGACGTTTTGCTTGATAGTCTTTATGCAAATTAGGCTATGTGATCAAAAAACAGGATCAAAACCGAAACTTATATCTCGAGTTCCTCCGTGCTAGTAGTTAAAGCGATTAGTTATCATACGTCCGCCTTCCCGTCCTCCAATCGTAGGTACCTCCGATTCCGTCGGCCTAGGCACGTCTTAGACTACCCCGACGACGAAATCACCCGCGCCAACGCGCCTCCGATTCCTCCCACACAGGCCACAAACATCAACACTACACAGCTAGCAAACGTGCACACTAGCTTAGCATTAGGCAGACACCGCACCCGTAGGTTAAGAGTGCGAAGACCCGGCCTACACACGACACGCTATACCAGGTACAGGTACCTGGACGTTTTTCCCCGCCCCCCATGACAACGGCTATCTAGAGCCGAGGTCCGAGTCTCAGAGACGCCCTCTAGTTGAGCCGACCCCCTCAGGTTCGAGTGGTCTGGAGACTCCCCCCGTGGGGAGACGCCATCCGCCTGGAATACCTCCAGAGGCACTCGCCAATTCTCGGCCTGAGGTCCCCTTAGGATCTCGCCGTCCCCAAACGCGGTGACGCTGTAAAGGTCATCTGCGACCAACAGCATATAAACTCAAAAAAAAAAAAAACTCGTATGCGTCCGTGCTTCGGAAGGCACGTTAAATCGTTGGTCCCGGCTGCATCTGCAGTCGTTAGCACCCACCAATCCGCACTGGGCCGCGTGGTGGGTGCATGGCTCAATCTCCCTATACCATCCATAGGGAAGGTCTGCGCCCCAGCAGTGGGGACATTAATAGGCTGATGATGATGAATAAATGATACCTTGTGCTTGACGCGTGCCGGCACGGGGAACTTCACTTCCTCCGAGCTCTCGTAGCTGGTGGCCGAGTTGGCCAGGACTCGGAAGTAGTAAGTCCTGCCGCCGACTAGATTTTTCACTGGAAACAAGTTTAAAGATTAAAAAAATATTAATTTAAGGTTTATTTACAGTATTACAATACTTATATAGAAATTTAAAATTACAACAACTTAAAAACTATTTTATGATTAAAATTTAAAATCCAAATATCTGAACCTACTCACGAATATATAAATAAAATAAATATTTCCAACACTCACACCAATTAGCCTAGCCCTAAAGTAAGGCTTGTGTTATGGGTAACGGATAGAATACATATATAAGTATATTTTTTTAGAAATACATATTAAACATCCATGACTGGAGAACAAATGCTCGTATTCATCACAAAAACATCACACTGTCCCCACCGGGTTTCGAATCCGGTACCTCTCGAGTCGGCGACACCCTGAAACCGACGACCTCCGTGGCCGAGTGGTTTGTACTCCGACAAACCACTCGGCCACGGAGGTCGTCGAATAATATCTAATTTACAAAATAAATATGTCATCCCCAGCGCCGCCGTCAGGAATGGTGCCCAATAGGCTGGTAGCATTGCCACGATGAATGGCAAGGCTGATCCGTTGAAAAAAGTTATAAACCAGCTTCTTTTTGATTAAGAAAGGTAGGGCAAAGCGGATTTCCCACTCGAATAAGAGTGCCCGTCTGGGGAAGTAACCTCCACCTTACGAAGACTATAGTAAAAACTATCTTCTGATGGTGTTGTGTATCTGTCGGTGAGTAAGGTTCCAGGGCTCCACGGGGTAAGGGATTGGTTCAGGGTAGGCAACGGCGCGAGTGATAGTTTTTGTATCGCAAGTGTCCTTAGGCCAGTGTTGCCAGATTATTGTTTGCCAAATCGGATTTGCCAGATATGAGATTTTAGTTAACACCCACCAATCCGCACTGGGCCCGCGTGGTGGGTCGGACCCAATCTCCCTATTCCATCCATAGGGAAGGCCTGTGCCCCAACAGTGGGGACATTAATAGGCTGATGATGATGAATGCTGTTATTAGTAGCTTATTATCACCGAGTTTATTTATTTGTTGATAGATAAATTAGATAAATAAATTGTAAGAAAGTAGGTTTTTAGTGAGCTACCAATTTGGATGAGGGTTCTTACCAAGGTAGCTGGTCTCTTCGGGGCGTATTTGCCCTCGGTTCAGCGTTTTCCACTGCGCGTCGGTGCGGTACTTGATAGTGTAGTATTGCACGAGGTTGGCCCTCTCGAGGGGAGCTTGCCATGTGATAAGGAACCCGTTGTGCACCTCTGTCACCGTCAGATTTCGTGGTGGACCGGATTTAGGACCTATAGCCAAATTTCACATTAGAACTCAATTATGGTGTTAGCTATGTAAGTAGGCATAAATTAATATTTCTCAACAAAATTTTGTATTTTACAGTGCGATTCAATTAAGAATAGGACCGACTGGGCACCATATTGTGACGTCATAGCTGTCAATTCAAACCAGTTAGGTAGAGTGAGCAAAAGTGTTTTTCATAAAACTTAATTACCAAGATTAAGTGAGAAAAATATCAGATTTTTAATAATATTTATTTATTAAGACTGAGTGAGAAAACACATTAATCAGAATCTAGCTCTTTAATTCCGCTCATCTCTGCACTACCATTGGAGTAGTCACCATCATTACTGCTGTTTTCGGCTATAAAATAAAATATCGATTATTGTAGGTAAAACCTAAGACTAAAACGAACACAGAAAAAAACAGTGCATTTTTATTACCTGTATTTATAATAAAACTAAAGTTCTTATATTTCCCTTTTGGGATCACCCATAAATTACGTCACACGAATTTCATGTTTTTTTTGCCCGTCCCCCCCGTCATTGTCACAGCTGGTCACATTTGTGAGACTCCCTAGTGTGACGTCACATATTTTGCAAATTTACATTAAGAAATTATCGAGTAAAAACAGCGGGTGAAATTCTCACTCAAACAACATTGAGTGAAATTAGTTTTATTTCCATTTAAATTGTTTTTTAATAATATTAACATGAAATCAAACAATTAGCAAAACAAAAATATTAATAGCATTATACTTAAATTAAAGATATAAAATTAATAATCTTGAGTCCATGGATATTGAACCCACTTCTTTAAATTATTTATAACTGACATAGCACCACTTTGTTCTCGTTTGGGTTGTTATAGTTTAAACTCCGTGTTTCAACTCTTAGATTATAATAGATTTTGAAATGTGACATCACGAAATTTAGGACCCCTCCCAGCCCTTGTCACACGATGTCACACTTCGTCGACCTCCCCCTTGACGTGTGACGTAATTTATGGATGGCCCCTTTCCTGTATTAATTTTCTTTACGTTTCATATGATTTATTTCTTTCTTTTGTTTACAAATGTTTGGTATTTTTTCTAAGATTAGCTCAGTGCTAAAAAAAGTGTTCCAAGTTTTTTTTGCAAACCGTACTTTTCAAGCGACATTTGACAGATGGAGGTCATTGGCTTTCCTATTCTTATTTGAATCGCATAGTAGGTACATTCTTTAAAAGGCCTATCTTTTGTTTTTAGGTGTGCAATTTTCAGGCCCGATTTGCATAATCAAAAATATTATTTTAATTAATGACACATAAGTACGTTTTAAGTATCGTTATTTACTGAACCTTTTAATTGTTAAGGACACAAAAAGTAAACAATACATAATTTACATAATTTTTGAAGTTATACTTCTTTAGGCGCGTTATGAAAAAATGATGAGAGTGAAATTTTCAGATGCGCGCGCATCTCTGTAACACAAAATTTGTGTTTACCGCACATTAAGAAAATCTACCAACAAAATAGAAATAGAATCTCTATTTAGTGGGTGCTAACGACTGCATTGTGAAGACCTATCAAAAGTATTTATTAATCTGGAACAACGGAACCAAAGCGCGATTCAGAAGTAGGGACACGAAAAAAGTATCGATACTTTGTGGTATCGAGTACTTTTCCTTTCGATACCGATACTTTTGTACTCGATACTTTGTATTCGATACTTTTACTAAATGAGTACTTTTTATCGATACCTTTAAAAATTTGGATAAGCGCCTCATACTGATGGCAACGCCATCTTGTCAAATCATAGCAAACCTTCTACAACGTTCCATAGGGTATTTGACAAGTTTTAGGCAACGATCTCACGTTATTGTCTAATGTTTATGGAGTCCATAAAAAGTGGATATTCATCATTCTATTGTGTGTTTCAGTAAAAATAACGAAATCAAAAACTCCATTTTCAAGTTGCCGCGAAAACGTTTCTCTGGATAATATGGCGTCTTACTAGTGTGTGACGTCACACGACTGTTATTAAAACGTCAAACGATACAATGTAATGTCACTTTGACCGGAAGTTTACTTGCGTGTGACGTCATTTTAGGCTCCGCCAATCCGAAGCGTTTTGGATCACGTGACAATAGATAAGAAAACTAATATCTTTTTCGTTATTTTGGCACTTTATTTTTAATACTGTCAAATGACCCATTGCGTTGTTATAAAGTCAGTAACTGACATATTAAAATTCTTTCCAATCTGTGACTGTGTTTATTTTGCGCTTTGTTTTGTTTCATAGTTATTTATTTAGCGACCATATTGTTAGGAACTGTGATTGATTCGCCGTTTATTGTGCTTTTCACTTGACTGTATTTGATTTATTCAAGTGTAACACTATTATTCTGTCTGTGCTGTGTATACTTATTTGAAACCACCTGAAAAAAAGAATATTAATGAACACTTTTTTAGTGTCAGAAATCACAGCTATTTTCTTTTCATTATATAATATAGCAATTTGTGAATTTACATGTCCTTTTTTGTTTTTGATTAAACGTACTTTAATAAAATTCGATTGTTTTTCTTTCAATTTTAACACCGGGGAGGGGGGGGGGGGGTTGCTCATCAGGCCACAGAGGCTCCGATAAGACCCTATGAAATGTACTCGATACTTTGAAGTATCGATACTTTTGTTTCGATACTTTTACGAGTACGATACTTTTTTACCGATACTACTCATGAGTACAGTATCGATACTTTCTATTCGATATCGTGTCCCTATTCAGAAGACTACAGGGCCATCTCTTGACCATTGGTGTAGTAGAACCAAAAACCACATCTTTATTTTTTGTAATAAAGTAACAGTTATAGGTATTCATATTTATAATATCAAAAGTATTTATTAATCTGGAACAACGGAACCAAAGCGCGATTCAGGAGACTACAGCGCCATCTCTTGACTATTGGTGTAGTAGAACCAAAAACCACATCTTTATTTTTTGTAATAAAGTAACAGTTATAGGTATTCATATTTATAATATTTATCCACATGTTTCTAGTTTGTATATTCGGAATTCGTGTTTAAGTTTCATACAAGTGCAAATCACATATGTTCTAATAAATTATATTCAGTAGCGATTTTAATTGAATATTTTGATTATTTATTTATTTTTTCAAATTAAAACTGAACTTTATTGACTGTATCCTTTTCCAGACTTTTTATTAATTTATTGTTATTAATTATTTGCATGCAATTAAAAACTAATTTTAAACGATGCCAAAGAAGGATAACTTCTCACGCGCCTACATAAGTACACGCACCCATTTTTCCATCACCACCACAAGATAGGAAAACAAATTAAAAAACAGAGTCGTGAATAAGCAATGTTCTAATCTATCCAAACCAGTTAGATAATTCAGCATTATTATTACAATAAATAAAAAGATTTTAGATTAGTAAACTAAGTGCTAGGTAGTAAAATATATACCAGAGCCTTCGGGTGCGTTCTTAAATATCTTTTCGTCTACTGGCCCGGGGGGAGTGGCCGGTGCCTTCGGCTTCGCGCCTACATCTACAAAAAGCAATGCACGGTTAACCAACATAATGTTGGAACGAACACCATCCCTCCAACCTGAAACTTCATTAGTAAAGTGTCACAAAAATTCGCCAAACAGGGATACCACAAAAAAAGTTATTGACTTTGTCGAACAGTTTATTTAAAAGTACTATTCAATATTTTATTTATACTACATAAAAAAATTCAACATTTTTTACTAAAATATTTGAATATATAGTTTAAACCGATAGCAAGGCCAATTAGAGATTTTCCATAAATTTGCTTATAGTGAGTGAAATTCAAACATTCAAAGCGAAAAATGCGTTATTTAAAGAGCATTCAATAAGTATTTTTTTTCGAAATGTTTTCTTAAATTATTTCTGTATTTTTTTTATTAATAAACCTTTCTTTGTGTATCTGTGTAAAAGTAGCTAAAAAGTTAGTCATAACACCACTTTATATCCGTCACCTCTAAGTGCATAGTAAGCGAACTCAAGTGCTGTATCTTACCTAAAGTTCTTATAGTAATAGCTTTGCTCATCATTCCTTCCCCTATCGTATTCTTGCTGTTAACTTGAAATTCGTATGTGGTTCCTGGCTGCAGGCGATTTATCGTTACCTGTAGTAATGAAAAAAATAAGGATTTTAAAATTATTCTTAATATTTATCTATCTCGTGTTCCTCCATGCTTCGGAAGGCACGTTAAGCCGTTGGTCGCTGCAGTCGATAGCACCCGCCAATCCGCACTGGACCTGCGTGGTGGGTCCTGACCTAATCTTCCTATACCATTCATAGGGAAGGCTTGTGCCCCAGCACTGGGGACATTAAAAGGCTGATGATGATAAACCATAGCGAGCTCACTTACCGAGGTGGCGCCTGATGGAGTGACGGGCACTTTGATCCACTCTGAGAAGCCGGCCTCGCGGTACCAGATGGTGTAGTCTTGCTTGTAATCGGGCCCGCCCGCGTAGCCCGGGTGCCAGCGCAGCGTCACTTGAAATTCTGTCGCCGTCCCTGATACGTTGTACGGCGCGTGAGGTTGAGTGCCTTCTATCACTAGCTGCGTGTCTGCCACTATCGTCGCCACCTGGTGTTCATATCGAAATATATCAGTGACATAACTTTCATGTAAGCCGGAAAGCCCGGTTAGCCCTAATTTAATCATAATTGTAATAAAATAACAAAACACTACCAAAATATTTTTACAGAATGCCAATTTTCTTTTGTAATCATTCAAAAAATTGTGTATCAAAGACATACAATTTGATAGTGTAAACTATAATGTTAAATGCAGCAGGCAGACATAGCACTATTTCAGCTTCAAGCATGTCCTAAGTCTGAGCCCGAGGCATGCCACTTCATGCCAGTGAAACATATCATGACCCACCACCGGCAAGGTGAAGAAAGCTGCTGTGGCAATACTGCTGCACAATGCTATTTCGCGTCTAGATTCCACCACGCCACTTAACATCAGGCGGGGAGGAGTTTGAATTTGGTGGGACGCACCTACAAATAAAAAGATTCTTACTTGAATGTAGTAGAGTCAAATGTTAGAAATGTTAATTTTTTACTGACAATGTTGTTTTAATATTTATAGCTTACGGACCCGACAGATGCTGTCCTCTCCGATGATAATAGAAAAAATAATCTTCAAACTCTGTCAAATAAAGTTGTAACTAAAGTTTATATATTTCCTGTCTTCCTTATTTTTTTCCGTAAGAACCTTGTAGGTACAAAGTATTGGAAAATTAAAAAAAAACTCATTCGTAGTTCTCAAGTTATATGGCGTGACCAGTGGCGGCGCTAGACCACATGGGGACGTCGGCGACATCAAGTTCGCGAGGCCTATTTAAATTCGTAGTAAAAAACCGTTAAATTAAGTGAGCCAAATTATAAAATAACGTATGAGTAAACGAGTTTTATTGTTGATAATCAAATGATGACAAAAAATAATTACAAACGTAGAAATTTAATTACAAAAATAGTGTTGCCGGACAGACGATTCTGAATACCCGTAAAGTACTACTCGCTTCCATCACGCACGTGTTCGAAAATAATAAAAGTCATTATCATCTGCTTAGCTTTTTCACCGAATTGTTCGGGGTCGGCTACCTAAGCTAGGCCAGGAGAAACGAAAATAAATAGGTAACTTATATTTTTTTTTTGCGAGGCCCCCTCAGGCGCGAGGCCGTCGGCGGTGGCCGACGTCGCCGACGCCTAGCGATTAATTTTTACCTATATTATACTTTTCAAAGATTTCTGACATTTAACTTTTTACCACAATGAAGTAGTCCGAGTTCAACACAAGTTTAAGAAAAACTGTCATACAGAATTTTTCTAAACATGCTTTAACACAGTGCGTGCGTAACACAGTTTTTTTTGGTAGTACAATCATTTCCCTCTTCCTGCGTGCCTTACTTCAACTTCAGTTTCTTCATAAAAGTTATGTTCCTGCCCGCCGCTCTCACGCGCGTCTTCTGCAGCGGCAGGCCGTCTGCTGTCGTGGTGCTATATTGTTTGTGCCGATATCCTCACCTCGTTGGAGGCGACGCACTGGTAGATGCCGAAGTCCTGGCGGCGCAGCGTGTCGATGGTGATGTTCCCGCCCGCCGCTCTCACGCGCGTCTTCTGCAAGGGTAATCCGTCGCGCCGTCGCCACTGTACGCTTGGTCGCTGAGTGCCTTCCGCCTCCTGTGCCTCGCAGTGCATCTCTACTGACTCCCCCACCTATTCCAGAATTAATAATAACCTAAATGCCTACATAGATTCATGGTGATTATTCATTTTATATTATCTACTACTCATTTATCAATAGGGTTGCCAACCCTGCTATAATAATACAGTATCCTACTATATTAGGGGATTAGCTACTATATTTCTTAAAATAATATACAGGGTAGTCCAATTAGTGACGTCAACAATTTTATTTAGATTCTTCGCATCTGGGGATATCCGAAAATACCCCATGTATGTTCCGCGATTTTTCTTAGTTTTCGAGTTATAGTTTTTTTTGTGTATTTTTAATGATTTCTGCCAGCGAGGTTTCAAAAATTCATATCTTTTTTCGTTGTAGGTATTTTGTAGTCTTGTTATTGTGACGTTATTGTCTTGAATGTTGTTTTAATAAAAAAATAACTCAGCTTCCTGAAATTACTTAAAGTTACTCAAAAAAGGCTTGAAAGTTGGAACTTCAGTTTTGAGTAAGTTTTACTCAAATGTTCAACTTCAATTTAGGAATACAAAAAGGAGTTTCCATAGCTTCTGGCTAAAATTAAAAACCCTGGACAGTAAAATCTTTTTTAAAAATAAAAAAAAATATTATTATGGCGTAGAGCAGCAAAAACCTATTCATTTCAAAAATGTAGTCAATATTTTACCCAAATACTATATTTTTTTCTAGTGTTTTGTCATCTACTATATTTTAAGGGGTATCAGCTTCTAAAATACTATATTTGATAGAAAAAAAGTTGGTAACCCTATTTATCAACTATGGTTATTAACCTAGCAAGTTAGTTTCCCTAACTCTCTGGCTGCGTGTATACAGAAATAGGTTAATAAGTATGCGTACACACAAAGCGGGAATTACTAGTTTGTGATGTCTTACTAATACCAGTTTGCTATCAATAAACAAGCCTGGTTAACTCAGGCACAATGTAAATTATGCCACCATGAGAGAGTTATAATTTTTTTTTCAATTATATTTGCTACGTAAGTTACCTTTCGTTGGTATAAAGGCTCCGGTTCCACTGTGAAAACTGGTGGTTTTCTCACTAGCACTTCCATCGGACCTGCCAGAAGAAAAATGTTATCATAACCAAACTTATCATTTATGTATACAACCCACTTTTGCATTTTGAAAGTAAACACAATATTAACCTGAAGAACCTTGAGTCCCTTGAGCGTTATAAGGTGTGCATGTGTATCGCCCCTGATGGTTTTGGTTTACACGAGTGAATAAAAGCGAGCCATTATTCATTATCACAATGTCCTTTGTTTGATAAGGCTCCAACAATCTTTTGTCCTTCGTCCACGTCACATACTGCAGCGGTGGATTAGCTTTTATGTAACATTGCACCACTCCCGCCAAACGAAACGGCAGGTACTGCACTGTAGGTGTAAAGGTCACTTTAGCTGGGTCTGAAAGAAAAGATATCAAATAATTTATACACGCACAGAGATGGTTATAAAATGCATAAAGTACCCTTAGACCAGGGTCGATAATTTTAAAAATGGTAAAAAGTGAAAAAAAATATAGTAGGATGAAACCCATTGGAAAAAGTAGAGAATATAACAAAATGAAAGGAAAAATAAATTACGGGCGATCTGAGGTCGGGAAGGGGGAGGGGGTGAGTTTTTAAGGGTAACACAGGAAAAATCCTGTAGCAGCGAAACCGCTGCTAGCACTAAATTGAAATGGTCAACAAAACACTATCGTGATTACATGCACCCCTATTCCCTTATTTCGTTAGAGATTTCGAACAGATATTGTCTCGAGTCGTGTCGGCGGCGACGGGGTTGATGACGAGCGCTCCGTCGCGGCGAATGGTGACGTGGTTTAATCAAACAATCGTGTAATGTTTCGCTTTATACATTACTTTACAACAGTTACTATTAGTAGGAGATCCGAACTAAAAACGATCTTCACCGAGCTTATAATAGAATGAAAAATATTTTATAACAAATTTAGTATGTTAGAAAATATGTTGAAAATGGGTTGCCTAAAAAAATTCTGGACAGACAATTTTTAATTATTTAATTATTTTTTATTTTATTTTTATTTTTGCAACATCAAGATAATAAGAAAATTTTTACCCTGACTTAAAGTATGAAACGTATAGAATGTGCAGCCGTTGGGTTGCCTATTATTTACCTGGACAAACTACTCGGTTGTCAGGTATAAACAGGTATGTCGATGCCAGTTACCTTCACTCGATTAGATAATCGAAAAATTTTTATAGCAATATGAGCGTTGTTTTATTGCGAACACGGTGATATAGGGTTGTCTGCAAAAAACTTGGTCCTAATAGGGGTTTGCGAATTTTGAAGATTTTAATTTTAACAATTATATGTGCGAAATTAAACCCCGAAAGCTACGGTTGGCATTTAGATGATTTTTTAAAACCAACTGGTTTTATCGGAGATCAAACTCCTTTGAAAATCCAGGACATTGTCGAAATGGAAGAAATTGAGGAAGAAACTAATAATGAGTCAGATGAATTCGAGAATCAAAATTATACTTCTGATGAATCAGATATAGAATAGAAAATATTTATTATAATTTATTTTTTATTGATATTATTTTTGTATTTATGCTGTTTTTTAATAGGCAACCCAACGGCTACACATTCTATACGTTTCATACTTTAAGTCAGGGTAAAAATTTTCTTATTATCTTGATGTTGCAAAAATAAAAAATAAATAAAAAATAATTAAATAATTAAAAATTGTCTGTCCAGGATTTTTTTAGGCAACCCATTTTCAACATATTTTCTAACATTTAGTATGTTAGAAAATATGATTCATTCTATTATCAGCTCGGTGAAGATCGTTTTTAGTTCGGATCTTAGACTATATCACTAAATTGGAATGGTGAACAAAACACTATCGTAATTACATTCAACGTTGAGGTAGGCTGAAGCGCTTTGCGGGTCCCCTATTCCGTTGGAGACTTCGCACAGATATTGTCCCGAGTCGTTGGCGGCGACGGGTTTGATGACGAGCGCTCCGTCGCGGCGAATGGTGACGTGGTTTAACCAAACAATCGTGTAAACGTTTCGCTTTATACATTACTTTACAATAGTTACTATCTCTAAATTGGAATGCTGAACAAAACACTATCGTAATTACATTCAACGTTGAGGTAGGCTGAAGCGCTCTGCGGGTCCCCTATTCCGTTGGAGACTTCGCACAGATATTGTCCAGAGTCGTCGGCGGCGACGGGATTAATAACGAGCGCTCCGTCGCGGCGGATGGTGACGCGCGTCTCCAGCGCCGCCACCTCCGCCACGGGCGCGCCCTCACGGAACCACTTCACCGTCACGTTGCCAGGCAACGCCTTCGCCTCGCATGAGAACTGCACCTTCTCGCCTTCTAGCTTCGTTTGGTTCGTTGGTGGCATCTATAAATCGAAATGCTCGTATAGCTTCTATTTATAACTTATAAGTCTGAGGAGATCGGTGGCGCAAGTGGTTTACGCGTTCGGCTGCGATCGTTGAAGTTAAGCAACTTTCGCAGTGGTCGGTCATTGGATGGGTGACCAAAAATTACTATCTCTCGCTCCTCCGTGCTTCAGAAGGCACGTTAAGTCATAGGTCCCGGCTGCATCTGCAGTCGTTAGCACCCACCAATCCGCACTGGGCCAGCGTGGGGGTCATGGCCCAATCTCCCTATTCCATCCATAGGGAAGGCCTGTGCCCCAGCAGTGGGGACAATAATAGGCTGATGATGAAGTCTGTTTTTAGTTGAGAACTTAGTAGGTATTCAGTATTTTTTATATCAGTAAGATTAGGGGCGGTGGGTTTTATCACCACAATTCAGTCATACGACACCCATTGCTGAGGATAGGCCTCGCCCAAAGGTTATTACACTGTATCCACTACCTTTGATAGATCGTCTGTCTACCAGGTGCTCACTGAACTTCGTCCAGTGCCCGGTTGCCACTCGAGATTTTTTCTGCCCCAACGACACCGTTCTTCCCACTGTGTCCCGACTCTTGACCACTGCAACTTCAGCTGAGCAATCTTTAGAGCGACGTCGGTTACTTTAGTGCTCCTTTAGATGTGCTCATATCTGATTTCAAACCACATCACTTTGCGTTCTTATAAGACTCATAGTAAATATTCGGTAGATAGCTGTATATTATATTTTGTGGCCGGATTATAATATATGTATCTACTTTTAAACTTATTTCTGATACATCTTCACATCTGTACATAGCCAGATGTATAGTTTCATGGTGTCGCCGACTCGAGAGGTCCCGGATTCGAATCCCGGTGGGGGCAGATGTTTGTGTGATGAATATGAGCATTTGTTCTCCAGTCATGGTTGTTTTATATGTATTTGTATATAAATATACTGATATATGTAAAGCATATGTATTCTATCCGTTACCCTAGTATCCCATAACACAAGCCTTACAGTGCTTTCTTTGGGGCCAGGATAATTGGTGTGGCTGTTGGAAATATTATATTTTTATTTAGATTCGTACTGTTACTCGTTTGGGTATTATCAACTGACCGTAATGACGGCGCCGCCTGCGATGATGACTCGCGCCGTGTGGGACACCTGCCCCTCGCCGTTGCGCGCGATGCACGTATAATCGCCGATGTCCTCGTGTCGGATGTTGCTGATGCGCAGTTCAGTGCCGTCGTTGAAAATACCCACTGTGCCCGACGGCTCCACGGGATTCGCATCTTTGTACCACAAGATCTCAGGCGTGGGGGTTCCCTCCGCCTGGCAGTTGAGAATAATAGCATCTCCTGCGAAGATTTTTCCAATTTTTAGTAAGTACAACTTCAACATAGCATCCAATGAAATTCAAAATGTTGGTGAACTTTGATCCGTTTTTTACAAACAGGATATATTACCTAAATTAACGTATATAATGTCTTCCGGTGTGATGGAGAACCGTGGTGGTGCGTGCACGTCGAGGTGGAACCAGGTGCCGTTTTTGTGCTGGTTCGGGGAACGGTTGAGGAATACCACCTTACACTCGTACCAACCCTATTATAGCAGTATAATTCGTTATTTATGTGAGACTGAGATCAAAATGCTGTATCTTATAAGTATTATTTTCATTCGATTGCACACATTCAATATCTTTATTGTCATTATTTGAATACAAATTCGGTCATCTGTTAAATTTAATTTCAATTAACTGAAAAACATAAACGTAAAAAAAAACATATTTTTACTTATCCAGTATATTTAAGTAAAATATATTGCATTATGTAAATATGCAGGGCCGGATTTAGAGGTTTGGGGCCCTGGGGCTACGAAGCAATAGAGGCCCCTTAATCTGGGTCGGACCTCCTAGGATTTGCCCAGGGGGTGCAAATTGCAAGGGTTTGGTGAATCATCGAAATTTGTTTTTCTTTATCTCTGTTGTGGGGCCCTGGGCCACAGCCCCGCCTGCCCTGCCCTAAATCCGTCCCTGTAAACACGATATAAGTAAACACCTGATTATGGCGTTTTGATTTGACATAATAAGAGGATTATATTCATTTTTGATTTCCTCAAGGGTCACCTGATCAGATTCCCGGATATTGGTGAGGTTGAGGCTAGCCGCACCGTACGGAGAGTCGGGCGCGACCCGCGACACTCGGCCTTCGTAGCCCTCCCCGCTGTGCGTCGGGTAGCTTTCATACCAGATGTAGATCGGAATGTCCTGTCCCTACCGTCAAAGAAACACTTGAGCATCTGACCAACACTGGTGCGATAACACTCGACACATACCTACATTGAACACAATTACGGGAGATGGTGACATGTAAGTAAGTTGAATAGATATCATGCATTTTCATCTACATATTAATATTAATATTACACTCTTTTTTTTTGGCTTTCATGTAATTAAAAGTGGCTGCACTTTACGCATGTGACTTCAGTGTGAATGAGTCGGTAACAATAAATTATATGTCGCACCTTTATTCCAATACTGTCATTAAACAAAATTCTTCAAAAAATAGTTTTCAACGCTATCTATTTGCTACGTTATGAATCTACACATTTGCTGCTCTGCTGCATAATTTGCTTTTTTATGATAATGACAGTATTGGAATAAAGGTGCGATATATGAAACTCGCTTTTTGTATTTGGTCAAGTTTCAGCACTACCTACCGTTATTTTAGACATCCAGAATTTATATTTAATAATCACACGCGCTATAAATACCTTGTTACAGCATTACTTTAAAACTAATATGCGATTGATAAAGATCGAATATCATTTAATTATTGCAATTAAACCGGAGATAAAAACTCTTTCTTATATTTACTATAAGTAGTTTGCTGTGACAAGATTTTAAAGCTCTACAAAAGCATGCAAGGATAATAAATTACTAAATAGAGTGAATAATACGTAAGCCTGGATATTATGACAACGTAAGTAGTTATGATAATTATGACTTAAGTTATTTTTATAATAAATATTTTATAAAGTACAACAGTGAGGCCTGAATAAAATCTATCAGTATTGGTTAACTTTTAGTCTAAGCTTTCAAACCTAAATATATAGTTTTGGGAGACATTAGGTACATACCTGTTTTTAATTGATTCAAATGTGAAATTCGAATCGATTCCGAAGGTGGGTATACAAAATAACAATTTTTAGTCCGTAAGTACATAGATATTTTGTGAATCACCACTGCTAGATGTAATTCAGGCCTAAAAATGAGGAGGTTGATGTTTATGTGCATTTTGCATGCAATGTGACCAGTGAAAAATAAATAACAGCCTACGTCATGCTTCGGTTAAACAAATAAGCGGGTAACGTTGATTATAAAGTTATCTAATTTAAACAATTAAAATTACATATACAATTACAAACATTATAATATAATATTAACTAAATTTGCAGACAGAGCGTGGGGGAAGCCCACAGCCACAGGAAGAGAGAAACAGACAGAACCGCCGCCAGTGCGCGAGGGAGAGCGCGTGCGTGCCGCGTGCCCCTGTTAGCTGTGTAAGCGATAAGTAGTGCGCCGATGTTTTTTTTGGGAAAAACGAGGTGCACTCAAAGGGAAAGAAAATAATCTTAATCATCCAAAAAATAATATACATCTTATCGTAAATGTACAGTGGCTGTGTATGTGTATGTTCGTCTAACGGGGGTCTGCTGCTCTCTCGGACTCGCTTTGAAGGCCTTTGTCACTGTGGTGTAATGTCGACCGGTCGGTTGGACGACGAGCGCGGTAGGTACACGAGGCAATACGCAGAAGAGGCAAAGATACATATATAAGGCGTGCGAGGCGCTCGCGGGGCGAGGCGGTGCCGCCCCGGCCCGCGGCGCCGTTACCACTACCGCGGGACAACAAGGTGTCGCTTGACACCGCACTTCGAGATATACTTTACGGTCTGCGGGCGCGTCGCGAAGACGAGCCGACCTTTACTGAACAGAAACACACACGGAAGATGAGCAGCGTTGTATTGTAAGAGTGGAGTGTGGGCCGTCGTACCGTTTCGCCTACCTTCTTCTCCCACTGCAACACGTACGGCACCGGGATGTCTTCGGGGAAATCCACCTGGCAGTTGAACACCACGCTCTCGCCGAGGATCGCTGTGATGTGCACAGCATCTTGGTGATCTTGATGGCAGGTTACTAAAACGAAAAAAGATAACTTGTTCGATAAAGTCGACTTCTACACTTCTTTTTTAAGTCTTTTTTATTTGGAATTATCTATCTCTTCTAAGCATTTTTTGGTTATCAGGTAGATATGGAGTCTAGACCATTAACTACAGTCACAAATATTTTGTCAAATATATTTGTTTTAGGTAGTCATGTTTATTTTTTGTGAATTCCTCATAGGTAATTATAATTAAGTAAGTGCGATAGGTAGGTAGTGTAGGTAAGTGATTCAATTTGAACAGCAGAAGCCTGCTAGGTAGGGCTGCCATTTCCTATATTTCCGACACTGGTCAGACATTAAATTTGGGTAAAATTGAGTTTTTTCCCTAGACGCCCACGAATATATTCTATCCTTTCAATTGCTGTAATTCATCATTTATGTTTTCAGATTGTTGCTTATTGATACAGCTATTTTGCGATATATATTCAGCGCAACAAATATCAGACACACTCTCCTTTCCCCTAACACAAAAAATTAACGGGCATTTACTGAAAACTTTTACCGGATGTTCCCGGGAAATACTCTGAACTTCGATTAATCCAGGGAAACCCGGGCGGATAGTAGCCCTAGTAGGACCAATGGTGATTAAAGTACCAAATGAAATTCAAGATCGTGCCGAAAACGAATGTATCTTTTTCTCTCGGTTATCGAAAACAAAGGTATTGTAGTGTGTGCACTACGTATATATGCACACACGGAACTCTCCCAATATATAAAGCCCTGCATAGCAAATAAATGCTCTCTTAAAACGCAGTCAGTTGTGTTTTATTTACATCCCGAACCGCCAGCACAGCAGTATAGTACGATGCAAACCTTATGGCGATTGTGAAGTTAGCAGCGAGTGATTTATGCTCAGAGCACGAGTTTTTGACAATTCCGTTTGAAAGTAATCGTCAAATATTAAATGGAAAAAGCTAGTTTGTTCATATGTCCGATACGGCGCTGCTTAGTTTTCATATAAAGTTTAACGATGCGATACGTTACGGAGCTGTCGAAAATTCGTGCCTCAGGTTTCAGTTCAGTGAATCCCCGAGTGCACCTGCGTTTCGTTTATTGCGACTTGCGCTAATTTCACAGCTGTCATTATTTTCAGTCGCACTATAATATAAGCATAGGCATAGAGCGTTCCATTCCACGCGTAATTTTAAAGTAAAAGAAAGAAGCAACTTGCAGGCCGGCAAGGTAACAATGGCTAGTGTGGCAGGTAAAACTATGCTGTACCAGCTATCTTCGCCTCTGGATTCCATCGTCACTTAACATCATATGGGGTGGAGTTATTTGCTCGGACTTATCTAATATCTAAAATTCTCATGTCACGGTGTGCGTAATTGAACTACTCCGCAACGGCTCGACCGATTTTCGTGAAATTTTATATGCATATTCAGTAGGTCTGAGAATTGGACGACATCTATTTATCATCCCCCTAAATGTAAAGGGTCCAACCTTAATTTTTTTTGACGTTTTTTTGTATTTATTTTTTTATGATTAATTTTCACTCTTGTACCACCAACCCCTATTTTTTTTAAGGCGGTACGTAGTTCGCTGGGACAGCTAGTATACTATAAGAAAGTAAGTATGAGAGAGACGAAGAGATCGTATTTTGTATTCGTCCATGGGAGTATCGTTCGGTCTTTACGTGTAGCAGTAAATAAGTGATGTTGCACCTGGCAGGTTGACTAGTAGCAGTAGGAGCAAGCCGGCGGCGATGTGCGGCGGTTGCACGGCGCGCCAGCCCATGCCTGCGCTCCCATGTCACGGCCGCGCGCGGCGACTCATCCTCGATGCATCACCTGCGTGCAAGGCAAAACATAACCATCATTACAAGTATATACACACCTAAGGATGAGTTCGATGTCGCAAGTGAGGAGACGAAGGTGCAGGTGGTTAGCGCGTTCGCTCTGCGATCGTGGAAGTTAAGCAACATTCGCAATGGTCGGTCATTGGATGGATTACCAAAAACTTATTATTCCGTGCCCCTCCGTACTTCGGAAGGCACGTCGAGCCAAAGGTCCCGGCTGCTTCTATAGTAATTAGCACCCACCAATTCGCACTGGACCCGTGTGGTGGTCATGGCCCAGTCCCCTTATGCTATCCATAGGGAAGGCCTGTGCCCACAGCAGTTGGGACACTAATAAGCCGGTGATGAACACATCTATTACTTAGTAGGTACATGTTCAACGATTTTGTAGCACTTTTTTTCGAGGGACAGCTACGTAGTGCTTTATACTACACCTACAACTACGAGGAAATAAAAGACAAATTCTTTAAAGTCAGATTAGATTGCAAACTCAGATAAAATAGAGCAATTCGCGTGCTTTTACGTTTTATTACTTTTACTTTAGTTTTATTTTTCCCTATTGGGAAAGGCATGCCAAAGCCATGCAGCCATCGTCTTATTTTTTTATTAATCTTTTTTTTTACATTAGAATTTGGGTGTGACGCATTATGTTTCTTGGAGTGATTGTTTCGAGTCAGCTTTCTCGACAAGTTTCTGTGAGGTAGTCATCAATACTACAATAAAGTTCTCACATCCACTTGACCGATATAGAGGATATTTTAAAGATTCCGTTAATTCTTCAGTTGCGCCGACGTTTGTAACACAAAATCACACCAATTTTATTTCATAATATCTACTAATAACGAATTTAAAGAATATTTAAAATATGACTCCAACCGCATTGGATGAAATCCCGCCAAAACCCCCTTATTACTTTTTCTTTAGTTTTATTCTTCCCTATTGGGAAAAGCAAAGGCAAAACCATGCAGCCATCGTCTTATTTTTATATTAATTTTCTTCTTTTACATAAGAATGTGGGTGTGACGCATTGTAATGTTTCTTGGAGTGATTGGTTCGAGTCAGCTTTCTCGATAAGCTTCTATGAGATAGTCAACACTACAATAAAGTTCCCATGTCCATTTGACCGCAATAGCGTATATTTTAAAGATTCCACAAATTATTCAATTGCGCAGGTTATATCGAAAATCACACGAATTTTATTTCACAATATCCACTATGAACGAATAAAATAATAATTAAAATATAACGCCGAACGCAGTCGAAGAAATAGTGCCAGAAACCTTATTAGTTTTTATAAATCAATGTTTACAAAAAGCCGCCAGTGGCCAGTATAATTTTTTGTACATGGTAATCTTTTTTTTTGTTATTTAGGTTATAACAATATGTATAAGGTTTCATAGTGATATGACCCCCCAAAAAATAAACAATGCTTTTCATTAGACCTAAAATACATAATTACATTATTAACAGATGTTTACCTATGGCAAAAATAAATAATATATTGGGCGAATTTATTAATTCTAATTATTTACAGAATTATTAAAGAGATGGAATATATATATTTTTGTACAAGAGTGTTTTATTAGGATTACATATTGAGACCTATTTGAAATTAGAAAATGAAACTTATATTAGAGATAAATATAAGGTAGTGGCACAAATGTCGGACAAGAACTATTTCTATTATATTACAGTTTTTAAATACAAATTTACACAGGTTTACTTACTAATAAAAGGTCTTATATTAGTTTTTAGAATTTTGTCAGTTTTAAGTTAAAGTATACTAGATTGGTGTATTTAAAAATGAGAATAATAAACAACAAAATCAAAATTCAAAACGTGAACAAATAACGCCTTCAATTAATGTTCAAGTAAAACTGAGCCCCATAGCGAAACAAGACGTAAAATTGAGTGCAGGTGGACTCTGACTCCAAAGCCGTACAACTGTCTCGCTTCCGCACGCAGTGTTCGTGATCTATCCTTCCGCTTTTCTCTCATTCAGTGAAGCGTGAACTAGATGAAGTACTGAACTAATTGGGACCCGAATGAAGGACTGAAGGAGATATACTTGCTAAGTGGACTAGTCCAATTTAAGGATTCACTCACGAACGACTCAACTGTAGCAAAAACCTATGTACATGTCATTACCTATTCCGACCTCCCACGACAACGGCTAACTAGAGCCGAGGTCCGAGTCTCATAGACACCCTCTAGTTGAGCCGACCCCCTCAGGTTCGAGTGGTCTGGAGGCTACAGACGGAGAGGAGACTCCCCCTGGGGAGATGCCATCTGCCGGGAATACCTCTAAAGGCACTCGCCAATTCACGGTTTGAGGCCCCCTTAGGATCTCACCGTCCCCAAACCCGGTGATGCTAAAAGCAGCATACACACTCGAAAAAGAAACCTATTCCGAGATAAATATTCTCAGAATAATACTGAAGTGGTTCTGATTCAGTTAAATATATAAAGACTGATGTGTTATATAGTATACATATATATGTATATTTGATGAAAAAGAAAAGGCAGTTTCCTTTTCGTTGGTGTTCATAAGAAAATTCTATACAGTAAATGAGATATACCCCGCTGACAGACGAACCAACGGATGGACGGACAGACGGTGGAGGTGGAGGCTATGTAATAGTACTATGTAATAGGATTCAGCTGTTTTTAATTTATGAGACTCAAAGTACATTTTTTTTATTAAGTAAGTATGTTAGCGATCCAAGCTTATGTAGCCCATTCTCAGCGCTTGGCCCTTGAATCCGTCCTTGGGCTATTTTCATTTGCGAGTAATTGCACTACATCACGGCACAGCACACGTACAGGCGGCCTCCACGCCGTGAACTCTTCTATATTTTAAACCAGCGAGCATTGCTGGTATGTAATCATCTTTATCGATTTGCTTATAAATTCTGAAGGCTGACTTCTGTGCTTTAATTCATGTTATTTATGCATTGGTTTCTCTTAGTTTCTTTGTCGTATATTCCGTTTGGATGGAATTATTATTTTCTAAACAACACATATACGATAAACATATCAGATTATTGAAGTTATAAAGTGTCGTTATTCGTTACGCATATTGATTACTAAAACAGTATTTTTTTTATTGCCTTCGAAGGCGAATGCCACTTAGAAATTCTGAAGGCTGATTTCTGTACTTAATTTAATTCATGTAATTATGCATTGGTTTCTTTTAGTTTCTTTGTCGTATATTCAATACTAGCTGTGCCGGCGACTTCGTTCGCGTTGATGTTAGAATACAACAAGTTGTCGCTCGTACGTAGATGGATGACATGATTTTCATGGTGAAGTGAAGAGCTGTGCTTTCTTTAGGCTCTACTCTTTGTAAACGATATTAGGTGTGAAATCTTGTGGAACATTAAAAAAAGATTGCTGGGTTTAAGCACGCAAAATAGCTTCATACTTTTTTTGGCAATGGAAAAAATAACAAATACCTACCTTGTGTCCATCTACTGGCCCCCGGACTACTTACGATTTCCACCCCCCCTTCCCTGTGATTAAGAAAAGTTATGTGGGAAAAAGCAGTAAAGTTGGCCCTTTCGAATTTTGGTTATTTCTATCTTATGTAGACCCCCGAGCCGCAGTCTCGCCTGCCTTGACTTATTAAATCCAGCCCTGATGGGATCAGTGCAGGAAGAGATATCAAGTAGGTAAGCAGTAGCGGCAGCAGCTTAAACAGCACTGTCGGCAGCTAGCGGAAACTGAAAAGGTACAAGTCTGAACCGAACCGCAGACCGCAGGCCGCAGCTGCAGACTGCAGGCGACACTACTAGTTTCTATGAATCTCTATGAAAGTGATTCCGAGCGCGGCAACATGCCGCGGCTGCACTATGCATGTAATGCACGGTCAGCCGCAATGTCGCCTGCGGTTGTCGCCTGCAGCCCATTGCGGAATTGTACCTTAACGTAGCGTTCTGACAACCACCAAGTTTGAATTTTGGCGCTAAGGCGCATTGTAGGTTTCAGTTTTATATTAAGGAAACGCTCAGATATTTGTTTCCGTTGGTAAAATATTGTTTGCTAAAATATTTACTAATTTTTAATTTTATGTTCGTCGGAAACTTGGAAAAAGGCACGTTTCGGAAGGATTATCGAAGCAAGAATTATGACAGCTGAATGTCATTCCTTTGTGTCGGCGGAATTGTGAAGGTACAATCACAAAACACAAATTAAAATTTGTTATTTTATAACTTGTTATATTTATTTACCGAAATAAAAGTTTTTGAGGTGAGGGGAATTCCATAGCTGTCATATTTTGATTATGTGAAAAAATAAAAAATACGTGTCCATTAAACTTTAACTTTTTAAATAATGTAACTAATAGATAGACGATGAAAAAAATATAGTCGTTATCCCTATTACAGTAATTGGTAAGTTTTTGGGATTAGTAACTAATACCAAAAGGATTTTATCATCGAAACTTTAATGAAACGGAGACCTTCGATTTATGCCCAATTTTGTACCTTGGAACATAATATCTCAAAAAACATCTTATATTGTACTTAAAATGACTCACTCATAAAAATCTCAAACAAATTCAATAAAAATTGCCGAAATTCTAAATTAAAATAGAAATTCTGCGTATATAGAAACATTATTACTTAGAAGCAATTTGTCATTGACTGACAGATGACATTTAATACTATTTCTTTAATTCATGACTTTTGAGTAAGATTGGTTGTATCAAAAATAAAGTGATTTCCGTAGTTAATTGTTTCAGTTGCACATTCCTTATAATATCTGTGTTGCCATTAATTTAAATGTCTGAACCACAACACAACAGATATACAAGTAAGTGGATAATAAACTCTATTAATATTTTTGATGAATTCGGCGTATTTTTCTGCACATAAATGCATAATAATACTTGAGGTACAAAATGGGACAAAAATGTGTAGAGAAAAGAATGGATCCATAACTTATGTGAAAAAAAAAGAAAATAACATTACCTTATTTTTTTTAAAGACTAGT